AAAGGCAAAGGGAGGAATCCGAAAAGATTGCTACAGTGCAGTCGAACATTTCGTTGCTACTCGAACGCATCTCTCGGGCGCTGGAGCTACAGAAGCAGATGCCGGCTGAGGGTGCATCCCATGCGTTGCATGCGCTAGAGAGCGAGGTGGACGCGCGGCGCAATCAAATCGAGAGTGACCAGGTGACGCATCAGCGCCTTGAAAGGGAGTTGCTGGACCGTAAGATGGAGCTTGAAAAGGTGGAGAACCTAGACATCAAAATCAATGCCGAGCTACAGGCACATGCACGCAAGATGGAAGAACAGTCGCAGGAGATGATCCGATACAGCGACTTGGATGGACTGCGCCGCAATGTTGAAAAGCGCCATGAGGATCTCGTGCGGGAGCGGGCATTTTTGGTGAAGCTTCGGGACTCCAGCAAGCATCAGTTAAACGCCCTTAGCGCGTCCAACGAGGCGCTGCGGAAGCGCCTTAATGAAGAAGCCGCCTTTCGCTCCGTATCGACGCTTGAAGGGCGTCTGCGGCACTTGCGACAATCCAACTTTTCGTTGGAGGAGTTTGTGCGGCTGAAGGGCAAAGAGAGTTATTATTTGGGCGCCAAGACGGACTGCCTGCGCCTTGTAGACGAGATCAACCTGCTGCTGAAAGATACCGACCGCACCCGCGGCATCGGAGGAGGCCCCGTCTTGCTTTTGGGTGAACGTTAGCGAAGGAGGAAAATGAGGACGAAAAAGCGGGGGAGTATGAAGGGTGAAAAAAAAAAGGGCCACAACAAGAATGAGAAGAAGCTCGGAAAGGGGCAATGGGCGGTGACGTAGAACTGCTGCCAACACACACACTTGGGCAGCAACGGCCTCAGGGGAATGTCGGGAGAAGGACTGGTCTGACGCACCGAGGTGGGGGGACAATGCGTCATCTGCACCAGTGCCGGCCTTGCTGCAAAACCTTATATATATATGTGTGTTTGCCCATATGTAGTTTTTTATGTGTCTAAAGGACCATGAGTGGAAAAACAAAGGACAAATATATTTTTTTTCTTTTTTCTGTTCTTTTTTTTTTTTTTCCGCTCCTCTTTTACCGCAAGAAAGATGCGCAAAATGGTTTGGGTTGATACTTGTTTGCGTATGTTTATTGCCCATCGTGTGAACCCCCCTCCTTGAAACGTTGTGATGACCGCTTTTGCGTGTTTTCCCCATTCTCTTTTTTATTCCACTCGGCTCCCTTTTTTTTTTTTTTTTTTTTGTGTGTGTGTTCATTGTTGCTTGCGGTACTTGTGCCTGTTGAAATGTGCGTATTGCTGCAGCGATAAAAATTATTTTAGACCACTTAATTATTTTTTTTATTGTTTATATCTTGCGATGGCGTCCATGGAGCGGTTTTTGAGTGTGTACGACGAGGTCCAGGCATTCCTGTTGGATCAGCTGCAGTCTAAATACGAGATAGACCCAAACCGTGCCAGATACCTCCGCATCATGATGGACACAACGTGCCTTGGCGGCAAATATTTTCGCGGCATGACGGTTGTGAACGTAGCGGAGGGATTTTTGGCCGTCACCCAACACGATGAGGCGACGAAGGAGCGCATTCTTCACGATGCCTGCGTCGGCGGCTGGATGATTGAGTTTCTTCAGGCTCACTACTTGGTAGAGGACGACATCATGGACGGTAGCGTGATGCGTCGTGGAAAACCGTGCTGGTACCGTTTTCCTGGCGTCACGACTCAGTGTGCCATTAACGACGGTATCATTCTGAAGTCATGGACGCAAATTATGGCATGGCATTATTTTGCAGATCGTCCCTTTTTAAAGGATCTGCTTTGCCTCTTCCAAAAAGTTGACTACGCGACGGCGATTGGGCAGATGTATGATGTCACCTCCATGTGTGATTCCAACAAACTGGACCCAGAGGTGGCTCAGCCGATGACTACCGACTTCGCCGAATTTACGCCGGCCATCTACAAGCGCATAGTGAAGTACAAGACAACCTTTTACACGTACCTGCTGCCACTCGTAATGGGACTTTTAGTAAGCGAGGCAGCCGCCTCCGTCGAGATGAATTTGGTGGAGCGAGTGGCACATCTGATTGGGGAATACTTCCAGGTGCAGGACGATGTCATGGACTGCTTCACTCCCCCCGAACAACTTGGGAAGGTCGGCACCGACATTGAGGACGCCAAGTGCTCGTGGCTGGCCGTGACGTTCCTGGGCAAAGCCAACGCCGCACAGGTGGCCGAGTTCAAAGCCAACTACGGCGAAAAGGACCCAGCGAAGGTCGCCGTGGTGAAGCGGCTATACAGCAAGGCGAACCTGCAGGCGGACTTTGCCGCATATGAGGCGGAGGTCGTACGGGAGGTGGAGAGCCTCATTGAGCAGCTGAAGGTGAAGTCCCCGACATTTGCCGAAAGCGTCGCCGTGGTATGGGAAAAAACCCACAAGCGTAAGAAGTAACGGATATGAATTAAAAAAAGGGAAAGGGAAAAAATGGAAAAGGAAAAAGCAAAATGGATGGAAAGAAGAAACAGAAACACACACATACACACACGCAAAAAAAAAAAAAGGGAAAAATGACTGTGTCTTTTTGCCTTTTTGGCTGTCTGTGTGCCCTGGGGTGTGCGATGTAATAGTAACGAGAAATAACCACACCAGAGCTGGATGAGTGGCGTGGGTGGTGCTTACTAAAAGGGGAAGTTCACTCTGATGGTTGCCCATCAATTCTCCGTGCTTTTTTTTTTTTCAACACCACAACGAAGAAATTAAGCAGGCGACGTTACAGAAAAGTGGTCACGAACGTGGATTCTCCATTTACGCCTGCATACACAGATGAATGGGTTGCTTATGAGCCTCTTGTCGTTGGAATTCCCGCATGATGACAACACCCATTCTGTTTTAGTCTCCTCTTGCAACTGTGGCACCTTCTGCGGGATTTGTATGGTTTGTTTTAATGAAAAAGTTTTTTTTTTTTTTTTTTTTAATTTTTACTTCTGATTTTTTCTTCCTTTTGGTTGTTGTTTCTCCCCTCCCTGCGTTGGCGGGGCTTGGACGTTGGCATAGCCTTTTGAGAAGGCGATAAAAGCAAGCGTGAGTGTGACGGAAAGGAGAAGGACTCAGCCATCTTGTTTGTACAGTTATTATTATTATTATTATCTAAAAAATTATTTTGTCATAAAGACTTTTTGCTAGGGACGAAGGCTTTTCTTCTGTTCACCTCCCACACCCTCAACCCCTCCCCAATCACTTAACCGCTCCGCGACACGAGGAGCGTTCCTGTATTACACCAGAAGAGGGGTAAAAATAAAAGAAGAAAACAAAAACAAGAAACAAAACAAAAACAACAACAACAACAACAACAACAAAAAACAAAGAAAAGAAGAGGGAGAAAACAACAACAGCTACAACAGCAAAACGAAATTTTTGCACAAGAGAGGGAGGAGAGGAGGAGGGGGAAGGGTGTGTAGTGCAAGATGTCGTTGCTTTGTTGTGATCCACCGGAGGGGCAATGGTTAGATGTATACGGCGACCCGGTACGGCCGCGACGTTCTGGTTTTGAGTGCCCGTTAGATTTATTGCAGATTGTGGCATGGTCCATTATTATATTGCTGGCCATCCTGCACTACACCCTGCATGTGCCGTTTTTGGAGAATACATTGATGATTGTTGTCTCCATAATCTCTGGGGTGCTGTTCACAGTCACAATCGCGTTGAAGGTCTCGCTATCCCTTAGCCACATTGAGGATCCTGTCATATTTCGCACGGATTTACCGCGGCTGGAGCAGACAGGACTAACGCAAGAGGCCGCGCCACCTGGCACGGAGCCGTGCGTCTTCTGCCGTCGTTTTGTTCAGGCCGGCAGCAAACACTGCGGGGTTTGTGACAAGTGTGTCCCCGGGTTTGATCATCATTGCCGCTGGTTAAATTCATGTGTAGGTGCAGAAAACTACAAGTCCTTTTGTGCTTTCATGGGATCGGCGTGGTGTGGCATGGCCTTCATTTTGGCGATTGGGTTGTACGTCATTGTGGATGCCATTTTGGCGAGGGAGAAGTACGAGGATCTCCTGGAGCTCCGCTATAAAAGTAGCAACTACGCAGTCTTCTTGTTGTTTCTCTTTATTACCGTAGCGTTGTGCACAATGGGAATGTGCGTTCTCGGACATCTCATAGTCTTTCACTTGTATCTCTGCTGCACGCACCGGACAACGTATCAGCACATGGTAGAAAAGCGTGAGAAAAAACGCGAAAGACGACGCTTAAGGGGCCTACAGGAGCAAATGCAGGAGGCGAATGGTGGTGAAGGCTACGGCCTCTGCGCGTGTCTCTCCATCCGTAAACGTCGAGATTTCCGCAAGTACAAGCGAAGACGAATGGAGAATAGCAACACTCCCCAAATCAACGACAACTGTAGTGCACCACCATTTCCCTCGGACCCCACGTGGCCGTCCGCCCATGGCCCCCAGGAACCTTATTCAAGCGATGCACATGAAATGGCACCCATTTCACCCAAATATGACTGACTCGCTCTGGCTCTTTTATGAGGAGAGAGAAAGAGAGAGAGGGGGGCGGGGGAGCAGTCTGTGGATATGGATGTGTGATACGCGGGCGGGGTGGAGTCGGCTCCTGGATATGGGAACGCAACTTATGGCGTTTGTGAGCAGGCACCTGTTCGTTACATGCCGAAGAGAAGAGGAGATGAGGTTTTTTCCGCGACATGACACCTGCTCCTTCCGTCGTTCACGAGAAGTGAAAGGAAGAGGGAGGTGGGTGGGAGTGTGGAATCATCTTTTTCTTGTGAATACTGTTGTTGTGCATGGCCGCATTTCTCTGCGTGCGTGCAGCGTGTATGCAAACGAACTGTTGAAATGAATAAAAAAACAAAAACAAAACAAAACAAAACAAAATTCTTACGGAAGGGAGGCGTGCGCGTCAGACACAAGCACACAAACGCACGGATTATTCTCATTCTTTTTTTTTATTTCTTGCTCCTGCTGCGGACGGCGCTGGGGTTGGTATTGCAATGCTGCTGTTGCTGCTCATAACTGGCGGAGGACCGGGAGAAGGAGGAACGCAGGCATTCAAAACGAAAAACACAGAAGAAAAGGAAAGAAGAACATTAATCAAACAAAAGCAAACAAGCACTCAGTCAAGAAAAAAGGGAGAGGGAAAAAATAATTAAAATAAAGGAGGGGCGGGGCGTTTTGTATGCGTCTGCTCCCGCCGTTGGGGCGGCTTCTCTGCGGCTGCGGCGGTCTAACGCGCGGTGCGGCGTTGCCGCTCAGCTGCCGGCATGTCGCGACTGCCACCGGCAGCGTTAGTACAAAGATTGGTGGCGGTGGTGGTGGTTGCGATAACAATAGCAACGGTACCGATGGGGGCGATAGTGACGGGGGCGGACTTGTTCCCTCCTGCAATTCCCATGGCCATGAAGCACTGGTGGACACTGGCAATTCCTTTTCTGTAGCAGCAACAACAAATGATGCCACGGCTGCTTCACATCATGACGGCGTCGCCGCAGTTCATTACGCCTCCTTATCGACTGCCCAAGGAGGCATGCCGTCGATTGTGTCCTCCGGGAGCCACGTCATGTCTGAGTCCAGGCTGGACGAACTTGCGACTCAGGAAGAAGAACGACGTGTGGCGCGGCACAAAAAGCTCTTTGAGGACCTCATTGTCTTTGAGGGCGGGGCACTCGCCGACCACGACTCACTGGGCACCTCGCTCATCATGCGCGACTTTATTCACTTTGCTCTCTACCACAAGAAGTGGGGCTATTATCCGAAGTTGCATCGCAAGTACAGGCAACTCATGACAAGCGGTTACTTTGATCCCGTGCCGTTTGCCAGTCTTCGGAACCAGCATGACTATGAACGTTATGTTGGCAAGATTCACGAATCAACTCCTGCCTGCATCACACCAACGCAACTGTTTCAGCCTCACTACGGTTGGGTGCTGGCGGAATACCTTGTGACAATGATGCGGGCGAAATTTGACCCCCGTGAGCCGCTTGTTGTGTACGACATTGGAGCAGGAACAGGGGCCCTGGCGGTGAGTGTGCTGGATTACCTCGCGGAGCACTTTTCAGCCGTATATGCGCAGTGTGAATACCACGTGGTGGAGCAGAACCCTCAGCTCGTGCAGGTGCTTCGTAACCGTCTCATCACACATTACCATCATGTCAAAATACATAACATTTCCATTCTTAATTGGCGTCAATTGGAACGACGTCGCTGCGTTTTGTTGGGGGTTGAGCTTCTCTCTGGGATGCCACATGATTGCGTCTTGCTTAGCGGCGATGGTGTTTGTAACGAACACTGGTTTGGTTTTCAGCAACATGACAATCTTTCCACTGTACATGAACGCTACTACGCTTTGAAGGACCCTGTTATTCTTCGCTACCTGCGTTACCTGCGTTGGCTACAGGAGGAGTCATTTCATAGTCTCAAGGTGTTGTGTCTTACGGGCGGGCGTGAAAACATCGACCCACCTCCTTTTACCAGCATTGAACCGAACATGAATGACCCTCTGCGTGTCATCATTACAAAGCTTATCTGGACTCACAGCCCATTTCGAACCCTCTGGCTTCCAACCGTCGCAATGCTTTTTCTGGAGACATGCGCCGCGTTCTTCCCCAGGCACCATCTTTTTCTTGTCGACTGGTCAGGCGTGCGGCAGGCCTTGCCAGGTGTTAACGGGCCAGTATGTCAGTGCAAAGTGCGTGTGGCGAAGGATATGTACCTTCGCCGCCCCGCCGACTCGCTGCATGGCAACGCCGGCATGGTTGACATTTGTTTCCCCACGGACTTTGAGCACCTGGCGGTGGTCTACCGTAACATCTGCGGGGCACATAAGGACATTTCAAGTCTCACCCACCCGCAGTTTTGGAAGACATTTGGCGGCGACAAGACGGCGCTCTTCACGACACGCAGCGGATTCAATCCGCTCCTTGAAGACTTTGAGCCTTTTCACGTCTTTGCCACCCACCACCCGCCAGAGATGTGAGGCCTATTTATTTATTTATTTTTGATTGTTGTAGATGTTGGCTGGTGTGTCGGTTGTGTGCATACGTGGGATTCGCCGCAAGTAGGGTGGCAATGCCAAATGCCATTGACCCTCGTGGGACCCTGCAATGGAGTAGAAAGAAAAGACGGGAGTGAGTTATTATTATTATTGTTATTTTTTTTTGTTTGTTTGTTTTCTGGCTTTTGCTGCAATTGAGCGAGGGACGTTGTTTTTGCCTGCCACACACATTCTCCTTCTACTTCTCTCTCTATCAGTGTGTGTGTGTGTGGTGCTGCCGCAGGTTTTCAGGGGGAGACGAAAGGAGCACATCGGGGGGCATGAGGAGGCAGCAGCCTACCGGGGGAGTTTGGGGTGAAGGGAGAGGAGACCACCATTACCACCACCACGGCTAACATTTTCTACCGTGCATAAATGTGTGGCATTGTGGTGAGTTTTCTTCCCTCCCCATCCTTCTTTTCCTCTTGCTTCCTCTTTTTCTCATGAATTGCACACGACACACAGACACAGTGGGATATTAGTTGGGGGGAATCGGTAATCGGTTGCTGCCCCATTTATTTTTGAGTTCCCTCATCCGTTGCTTCTTTTGTTTTTTTTCTCCCTCTTCTCCTGTTTTCATCCACGGGACGTGTCCCCTCCGTGCGTCTTCTTCCTGCCCAAAACTCACCCCATTTTTTTCACTGTTGTTTCTCCTGTTGCCAACGTGTCCGTCCTTCTGTTTTTTTTTTTTGTTGGTGTGTGTGTGCGTGTGTGGGGTTTCTTTGGCTTGAGAGAGAAGGGAAGGAAAGAAGGGGTGCCCGACTCCTTGTTTTTGCGCATTGCTCCACGCGTTGCGGCAGAAGGGGGCAGCCGTGCACACATCTGCAGATTGTTTGCGTATAAATACACGTGCGCCGCCACTGCTGTCGCCGAGGTTGCGCCACATTCCCCGACAGTCTGGAGGAGAGAAGAGCGATGGGCGGAGGAAGTAAAGTAAAGTAAAGTGAAAAAAAAAAAAAAAACAGAGGGGTGAGGGCAAAAACAAAACCATTTGGGGGGTTTTCCCGTTTTATATTTTGTGTGCTTATTAGGAGCGAGCAGGGTGGAGCGTGGTAGACACACACACACAAAAAAAAAAGCAGGAAAGGAAAAAAAAAAGGGAGCACAAAAGAAGAAACACACCGGAGAGGGACACGAGTGGGGTGGAGAGTAAAGAAAGGAATAGACTGGAGAAATTGATAGGTTTTATTATTATTATTATTATTATTGTTTTAATTTCCTTTTTGTTTTGTGTGTGCGTTTCTTTTTTTTTTTTTCCTTTTTTTTTTTTTAGGTTCTTGTACGACCGTCTTTTTTTCCGGGCTTAGGGTACTACTACTACTGCCACAACTAAGTGCCGGTGCGAGAGAGCGAAGACAGCCGACTGAAAAAAGAAAGGAAAAAAAAAAGAAAAAAGGGGGAGAAAAAGAAGGGACGGAGAGGGCAATTGAAGGGGCATTTCGCCGAGCGTAAATCCAAAACAATAGTAGAAACAACAACAACAACAACCAACAACTTTTTGCCAAATTGCGGGCACAAAGGGACTACCTGCGATTGTGGTTGTGGTTGTTGGTGTTGTGAGAGCTTGACTTGTTGCGGCACCTTTATTTTGCTCTTTTTTGCATGCGACCTGCGAAGATGCTTGCGCGGGGGACATCCGCGCCGGGTGAGACGACGTCACTATCCGCCGAGGAGATGCACCAGGGCATTGCGTCATTCCTTGGAGGAATTGACGAGCCGGTGCTTTGTGACAGCCTTGTCGCGTACGAGTTTCTCGACAACAACCTCGCCGCCCACTGGTCGCTTGCGAGGGTGCTAAGCCTCAGCGACCACCACGCCCTGCTCCAGCGGTGGCGAGCAGAAAATGGGAGCAACGCTGACATCCTTGAAACACTCAAGCAGGAGAAGGAGCTAAAGGAGGAGGAGGTGCGGAACTGCCGGCGCTCGTTGCTGCAGCAGCGCGAGGAGTTGGCAACCGTGCGACGCGACACAGAGGCGGAGGTGGCGCGGGCGAAGGATAAAATTGAAGACGCGCGCCGTCTTTTGGAGGAGGTGGAGGAGGTACGGCTGCACGAGGCCTTCAGTCGCCGCCTCCCCTCAGCGGGACTTTGCCTGGCGCTTGAGGCAAGCATCGCCATTTTAAACCAAGAGAGCATGGAGGACGTCGTCATGGGGTGGGAGGACCTGCGCGCTGTCGTGCGTCACCCCGACTTCATCACGAGGCTTCTGGAGTACTACCCGACCGTCGAGAACAGCATGGACGAGCACCAGGACATCATCAAACGCTACCAGCCAAGGCTCCTCAAGCTGCAGGAACAGGTACGGCTCTCCCCACGGAAAATTGTTTCGGCCAATTCTGTTTCACTTGAGTCCGTGTTTTGCGACTGGGCACTCGCCCAACTGGGGTTCATTATTGTTTATCCCGAGATAAAAAAGTCTCAGGCGCGCGCAAAAGAAATCAGTGAGGCAATAAACAACAACATTCGCACAATGAAGTTGCTTGAAACACAAATCAGTCAAATCATTGAACAACAACATCTCTACAAGGAGGGTAACAATGTAGTTAATTGCAACAAAGCTGACAGCGATACGTGCCTCAGCTTTGCGGAGGCAAGTGACATCGCACCAATCACCGTTCCCCGCTCATCCATAACAGCAGCAATTCCGGGCAAAGGCAGCGGAATTGTCATCGTTGGAAAGGATGAGGCCAAACGTCTCACTTCCAGGACGGCCATGCACCGCCCGCTAATCTATGCAGCCTTGGGCAGCGCACTGGAGGAGCGAGCGAGGCTAGAAGCGAAAAATACCGACAAAACAAAGTTGATTCAGGACCTACAACAAGAAAAGGACAATGTATATAGTCAAAACAGTGATCTAGCAAAACAACTCAAAAATCTGGAGGAAGAATTACACAAACTTCGGAAAGAGCTTGAACAACAAAAAACATTTGCAAAAAAACAGGAAGAATATCACAAGCAGCAAATCGAAAAGAAAATTAAAAACCAGCAAGAAATGTCGCGTCAACTACAACAAAGCAAGGAAGAGGTAAAACAACTCCAACAGCAAGACAAAAAGAGAGATAAGGAAAACCACGGATATAAAACACAACTAGAAAAAATGGAGGAGCAGATGGAGGAAATAAACAACAAAAACAAAACACTTAAAAAATCAATAGAACAAAAAAATCAAGAAATCATTGAGTTATATGAACACGCCAAGGACCTACAGCTCCAGCTTGAAGAAATGCACGCAGAGATCGAGCAGCTGCGTGTGGAGAACGAGGAGCTGCGTGCCGAGGACGAACATAAGACCCGTGGACTGCAGGAGGTGAGCGAGCAGGCGGAGGATCTGCAGCGGCAGCTGGAAGAGCTTCGTGCGGAGAACGAGGAGCTGCGTGCTGAGCACGAGGATAAGACCCGTGGACTGCAGGAGGTGAGCGAGCAGGCGGAGGATCTGCAGCGGCAGCTGGAGGAGCTTCGTGCGGAGAACGAGGAGCTGCGTGCTGAGCACGAGGATAAGACCCGTGGACTGCAGGAGGTGAGCGAGCAGGCGGAGGATCTGCAGCGGCAGCTGGAGGAGCTTCGTGCGGAGAACGAGGAGCTGCGTGCTGAGCACGAGGATAAGACCCGTGGACTGCAGGAGGTGAGCGAGCAGGCGGAGGATCTGCAGCGGCAGCTGGAGGAGCTTCGTGCGGAGAACGAGGAGCTGCGTGCTGAGCACGAGGATAAGACCCGTGGACTGCAGGAGGTGAGCGAGCAGGCGGAGGATCTGCAGCGGCAGCTGGAGGAGCTTCGTGCGGAGAACGAGGAGCTGCGTGCCGAGGACGAAAATAAGACCCGTGGACTGCAGGAGGTGAGCGAGCAGGCGGAGGATCTGCAGCGGCAGCTGGAGGAGCTTCGTGCGGAGAACGAGGAGCTGCGTGCTGAGCACGAGGATAAGACCCGTGGACTGCAGGAGGTGAGCGAGCAGGCGGAGGATCTGCAGCGGCAGCTGGAGGAGCTTCGTGCGGAGAACGAGGAGCTGCGTGCTGAGCACGAGGATAAGACCCGTGGACTGCAGGAGGTGAGCGAGCAGGCGGAGGATCTGCAGCGGCAGCTGGAGGAGCTTCGTGCGGAGAACGAGGAGCTGCGTGCTGAGCACGAGGATAAGACCCGTGGACTGCAGGAGGTGAGCGAGCAGGCGGAGGATCTGCAGCGGCAGCTGGAGGAGCTTCGTGCGGAGAACGAGGAGCTGCGTGCTGAGCACGAGGATAAGACCCGTGGACTGCAGGAGGTGAGCGAGCAGGCGGAGGATCTGCAGCGGCAGCTGGAGGAGCTTCGTGCGGAGAACGAGGAGCTGCGTGCTGAGCACGAGGATAAGACCCGTGGACTGCAGGAGGTGAGCGAGCAGGCGGAGGATCTGCAGCGGCAGCTGGAGGAGCTTCGTGCGGAGAACGAGGAGCTGCGTGCTGAGCACGAGGATAAGACCCGTGGACTGCAGGAGGTGAGCGAGCAGGCGGAGGATCTGCAGCGGCAGCTGGAGGAGCTTCGTGCGGAGAACGAGGAGCTGCGTGCCGAGGACGAACATAAGACCCGTGGACTGCAGGAGGTGAGCGAGCAGGCGGAGGATCTGCAGCGGCAGCTGGAGGAGCTTCGTGCGGAGAACGAGGAGCTGCGCGGTGAGCACGAGGATAAGACCCGTGGACTGCAGGAGGTGAGCGAGCAGGCGGAGGATCTGCAGCGGCAGCTGGAGGAGCTTCGTGCGGAGAACGAGGAGCTGCGTGCTGAGCACGAGGATAAGACCCGTGGACTGCAGGAGGTGAGCGAGCAGGCGGAGGATCTGCAGCGGCAGCTGGAGGAGCTTCGTGCGGAGAACGAGGAGCTGCGTGCTGAGCACGAGGATAAGACCCGTGGACTGCAGGAGGTGAGCGAGCAGGCGGAGGATCTGCAGCGGCAGCTGGAGGAGCTTCGTGCGGAGAACGAGGAGCTGCGTGCTGAGCACGAGGATAAGACCCGTGGACTGCAGGAGGTGA